TGTCACTTCTTTTTGACCAAGCACACTAATCCTCTGACCATTTTCAAGATAACCCACTCATGTAAAGGAACAATTTAGTCATAAACAGAAGACTCTGATCTGTGTCTATCATGTTATAGTTAAAAAATCACATTATCTGCTATTTCAATATGAATTTTCTGAGATACGATGTGTTTCTGAGATATTTTTATGCGGTCATGTAGGCACTAATTACTATATAGTAGAGTGATTATAAGCTATTCCCTTAGCATTGTCACAGTTAGGAAAGGAAACGTATTATTTTCGTAGTGCATCGATTTCCCTCTGGAAGTTACTACGAACGCAGTTACCCACCTCGCACATTGTTTTTGTTCATTTTTAGGAAGAAACAAGTACATACAATAAACGTTTTCGAACGTACGACACTTCGCATCCACTCAACACTTGTCTGCTAAGACTGCATAGCAAATCGGCTCCCTTTGAATGTGTGTTTAGTTATTCAAGTGAGATCAGTCCATTTTTCACTGAGAACTGCGCCGATTTAAATACTAGACGCAAATATATGTATCTGATTTTAACAGTCTATTAAAAAGTAGGTCATTATACTGGCTTCTACTAGTAACAGTAGTCTGACTACCTGTGCTCTCTTTGTCTTGGCAATAATTTTCTTCAAGTCTCTTGACCTTTTCATCATGCCGAGAAAGCACTTTGCTCCGGGCCCCGGATGACCCAACTTCCATTACCTCGTTTTTGGCCTCTTTTGCGATATGGCAACCCTTCGAAGCGAAGACGAGGCCTTGGTTCCGGTTAGTCTTCATTTCTTCTTCATGCTCGTTAGCCATTACTTTTCCCCTGCGCGCTCATATGGTCATCTTGTATACCCATTTGGCGGGTGAATCCCTTCCCAGAATCCTTCCCCTAGAACTGTGGGAGCCTTTTAACGCTAAGAATTCCGCTTCGTGATGTAAGCGAAATATCCACAAATTCGTCACAGCAAAAAAAAATAGTTACATGAAAAATTTACTATAAAATTACTGCAGAACAGACATGCACCGTTTCGAACTGTGACTGATGCATAAATATTTTTTTTTGTGTTTATGATAAGAGAGCGGTCTACTGTAATTGAATGGCACAGATCTAAAAGAAAGGTCTTCTAAAATGTCATATTTGACATAAGAATGTAAACGTTGCTAGTGTTTGTTGTGTTCATTGAAAAACCATCTTCTAGATAAAGGAAACCTGTTGAATACTGGTATTTGACTGGCTCGTAGTGAGGCGATAACCATATCGTCATAACCCATAGGCATAGTCTAGTACACATCCAGGAGTGGATGCGATGCCTTGAACGGTCCATTAAGCTAAAATGTTTCCTTTGACGCTAAAAGAACGGTGTAATTGAAGCTTGATATCTGCCTGTTTTAGAAGTAATAGAACATTCTGCGGCTGGTAGGCATTACTTTTTATACTGATTCAATAACGATCCGTGACCCAGATTTAGCTGACTATAGTCGGATTGATCATGACTAGAAATAGAAACAAGCTACGTCTTCAACAAACACAACTCAGAAGGGCATTTGGTCCAGCGAACTTCTACTTTACGAGCAGAACTAATCGACGTTAGCAGGGTAATGGTAGTCAGCCAGACGAAAACTATGTATCAGTTCATGCAGCTGCTGATTTTCTTAATAAGCCTTTGTAAATTTGATTTGAGTAGTTTCAAAACAAAAGTGTAACGTGCCTAGTGTAAACTACCAGCATTTATAGAAACGTTCAACAACTTAGTAATGTCTAGGAATAATGAAATGGGTCCACTAGCTGAGTTCAGTCTCCGCTTGTAAGATCGTATCCATTCGTCACATACGCGCGTGCCAAAATACCGCGAAACGTACGGATCAATAAGTCACTGACTTCTGACATGTTTTGATTTACTGTCAATTTATCAATAGCAACAGATCGTAAAATAGCAGTACAAAAGTGAATATGTGCGATTGTTGCATGCAACGATAGGTACCTGTCGTGCATCAACACAATGCGATTGTGATTTGGAAATCAGTGCGCGTACATCTTAGTTTTCGAACATCATACACATCGGCATAACGAACTACCTTATACATCTTCAGAAGCGATGCTTGCGGAGGTGATTGATTACTAATCGCCCTTAGTTCAGCCATGATCCACGCCCGAGGCTTGAGAACGATGCCCTCCCTACCCAATTCCGAGATAGTTCGCTTTAAGTAACGTCGCGTTGATTCAGATAATTTAAAAACAGTGTTGTGGAGCCTTTTCCGTCGGCGACAAGGAGCTTCTGCGTACGCTATTGATTTTTGACATCCTTTACACAAACGTACACGTTTACGTCAATATAGAAAAAAAAAAAAAAAAAAAAAAAAAACTAAACATTTTCCTGAACCGGAATCATTATTCATATACTTTGAGGAAGTGTATGTCATGTAGATATCTTACGCTCTATGCAGTGAAAGGCCGCATTACCTCTTGAAACGTAGGTTTAAACCAAGATCATTTTGAGTAGTGTCCCCTTTATTGCCTCTCTGAGAGGTATAACAATATATAACATGCTTACGCTAATCAAGCCGATTTAGTATTTAAGTAAGGTGAACTTAAAAGCTAAAGAAAAAATGAGGAAAGAATGAGATGATAAACTCGGCTTAGTTTGAGAAAGCAGGCGACAAAAGTTCTCAAACAAACCTCAAACAAGTTCGACAAAAGAAACCTCAAATGTTTTCGTGCATAGACTAGGTACAGTGTCGACATGCTTCGCATTAGTGTACTAAGGTCACTTGATCTGCATGATTTTTTCGGCTACGGCAGAGATGGCGCGAAAAAAGTCTCAAGAACTTCGAGATAATCGACCTCATGCAGGCGGTAGGAATGATGCCACGGCTGCGATTTGTGCGAGTGCTGTCGGTACACGAAAAAGTAAATTCAGGACAAATCGTCCGAAAGTAAAACGAGAAATACGGGCAATTCTCCTTTGAAGTTACTGATATACTCATAATAACTTCACAAACGAGATAACTAACGCGTTTTCCATACGCACCTCTTGATGGCCAGCCCCTCTGAAAGGCGAGACAGGACCCTCCGAAAACGCGACGTTGTTCCGCCATACACCTCATATCTTAGTTGATAATAATAGATACGTTCTGTGATATGTAAATGAAGTAGTAAGTGATGCCCATTACTTTCCAGATGTTTGCCGCATTCAAATAACGCCCTTGAAATACACACGCACTAGTCCTAACAGTGTATTCAAAGTGACCGTATGGCATAATACGACCCTGTGCCTAAGCCCCCGATCGGCTGCTAGTTTCAAACCGATAACATCACAAGCACTTAGCACCTCAAGTACGTGCTCAACACTGAACAGTGGTCATCAACGTTAATGGGAGAGCATTACGATTGAGGTCCCGCTATACTTATAATCCTCTGTGGATATTAAGGGTGCAAGGTCAGCCTTCGGCTGCCAAAGCGGATATTATTATTATAGATTAATATCCTTCTAGCCGTCTATGTACATATATGTAGAAAATATGTTGCCTAATACATAATCGCACGTTTCATTTGAGATTAGGCAGCTCGAGATTGCAACAAACTATCATGCCGTCTGCTTTGGAACTGTTTCAAGCCTCTGATAAGGACACGATGTACAATACGTATATTGAAGCGCAAATAGAGACCGGCATGATTCGCTAGCCAATGCTTTCGCATCGGCGACATCGTCTGGGAAATCACAGAAGGACAACTAATCTGCCCATAGGTAGTTTCTATCCCAATAATAACTATCATAACTTTTATAATTATTCGTAAAAAATATACCCTTTTGAAACAGCTTACAACACTTTACATATGAATAGGATCAACAGAAACTTGTAGTAATACGAACTGTTGAATTTATTTAAGGAACATATATATATATATATATATATATAGAGAGAGAGAGAGAGAGAGAGAGAGAGAGAGAGAGAGAGGGGGTTTTTAAAATCGACTTTCGTAAAATTTTATGCTAATATGATCTATTATAGTATACGTTTAGATAAGCCTCTGATCAACTTTTAAGCTGGTTGCGGAAGACTAGAAAGAGAGAGAAGACTACAAGAAACTCAAGAAAGAGTGAATCTTATTGAAAAAGTATCGAGTAGTTGATCCTCGGAAATGACTTGCTGAGTACGGGCATGCATAAAATTTCTGAGTTTTCAAGAATAGCCGATTGTAGGCTACAGGTTGTAGATCCGTAGCTTTCATACAAATGTTAGGTGACGAACTGCTCAGAACGTTCTGATTTTAAGGTAAACAGTAACAACTGTAGAACGCGCATCTTCTAACCGAATTCTAATACAGATCCGAACGTAAACCTCTAAACTTGAGGTATAAGCATGCACTGATAATTACCATGTCGTAGCAGAACGTATCGTGTTTAGAATAGAATGTTATTGAGCATGTATGCTGCGTAGAAGATCAGCTACAAATCAGGATAATTGTATCAGTGGAATCTGGGAAATATTAGTAGCCAGCCGTACGTTTCGATACTGGTTCGATAAAGATCTTTATTTCATCTAACATCATGCCATATCTAGAAAATGAGAATCCAGAGTTAATCGTGACGTTCATGCTATACAAATTTAGTTGCCGCTATCTTCATTCAGCTTCTGAGGAATATGTTACGTAACATTGTTTTACATTGAAGTCTGGTTCGGCTGTGGGGCCCGTTGTTTGAGTAGTATCAATGCCATCCAAACGGAAGCTATTCACCTTAAAAAATCATGTATTGCGTACTTGAACTATTCTATTCATCAGGTCAACAAATAACAAAGTACGACAGGACCCGTCTTCTGCACCTATCCAATCAAAAGTGTTTTTTTCCTATTTTTTTTCCATCTGTTCAACGGTCCATAGGTGTACGTAGGTAACTGCCCGTCTGAGTGTTGGTTTGATCGTTTGTGAATCTTGTGGAGAACGAATTTTAAGCCAATAGATATATGTAAAGGTTACTAGCTGAACGCGCCTGTTGTAAGCGTTAGGGTCGTCTTAATCTGGTTGGCACGTTGACCTGGTGAATGTAAAGCTCATCAGTGGCATTGGCAGATATATACTTTTTCAGCCACGGTATGTATACCTGTCATATTATAAAGTGGCACCGTAATTTGTCTCATTGTGTAAATTGTCCTAGTATAATAAACATTTAGGAATAACTCTAACAGTCTGTGTGTACTTGTAACAGTTCGCTCACAAATAACGTCCCATTTGCGTTTGTCTTATAAACATTTATAGTTTTTGCCAAACGTTTACAAGCCAGGTTATTTACTCATCTCCTAGGTATACACTGCTTGATGTACAGTCTTGGCTGAGAGTTTTTGCCTAAGAGCTATACGTGCTTTTCGGCTGGCTTTGACATGATGTCTGACGAACTACTAATCCTTCCCAAAAACGACGAACCCAGAGGTGTCAAGATTTTGTTTTCGTTCAGGACAAATGCGTTTTTATGAACCTATGTCTAACATTCTGAACGTTGCAGGCCGTTGAAAAATTTACAGTAATGTTTCTTCTGAAGATTGTTGAAAAGTTGCCCCCTCGATACTATATCAAAGGCGTGAAAAGTCTTTGTGTATCATAGCTATTGCAGTTGTTTTCGGTGTGCTGTGACTTTCTGGGTAGTGATAAACGTTTTTGAGATATGATGGCCAAGCTTTCCCTTCTTGCATATTTCTTAAACCTGACTTTTTCATGCGTCAGGGTTCCTTTAGGTTATCTACTCTATCGGTTATATGTAACCCTTCTGTCTCAGGTCTGACTTCATTGACTTTTTTTTTACCAGCTACATCCTTCATGTAACGCTCATATGTTCATAAGGTATGATCGACCCATAAGTTTGCTTGCTATTTTTATGTATTTCACGATATTTTTAGAAGTCTAAATTTGAATGATGTATTGTTCCTGGTGTAGTTGAGGTATGTTTTTTGCGGTTGTGCAATCATCATCGTTGTTTATAAATACGTCACCTGGCCTGATTTTTTCGAAGCAGTTAGACCTCTTCCGATTTGTCGTAAACGACACTTTCACGTTCAGCTTTCTGTTGAGTGCCGGTTTTAAGATGCCATTATCTCGGAGTCGATTAGCTTGGCCTGTATACACGAACTCTGACAAACAATTGGTTTTAATCTACTTAGTTCGACGTGCCATGCGGATTTGTTTCTACCATCCGTGTTTCTGCCTCGATTACCAGCCATAGGACCCAGCCTTGGTTGTTATCTTCGAAAAAAATAACTAACGTGGCGCGTCATCTCAGGACGTGATGTTACATGCTATACAAATCGCCATACATAGACGACGTTTGACGTTATAGCAAAGTGGCCTGAAATGAGCTAAAAGATATAGAACCGTATATGCCTATAAATTGTCTTCCTACAAGTTCCTACAAATACGTCGTCGATTACGGATGCGGGGCCATCATATTCCTCATCGTAAAGTGTTGAATGCTTTAACTTCAGTCTGTGCCTCATAACATCGCTGTGACTGACTTAATCTTTACAACAATGTTTTTCAATTAATTTTTATAGCCGGTCGACTATATATTTATCATGTGCATACTGGCTTTAAATGAAGATATTATCATGTAAGAAATTACGTAATTTCAAAAGAAGGAAGAATGATGGAAAAGCATTAGGACCTCCCGCTGTTGGTTCACTTTGAAAGAGAGTGTCGCCTTTATATTGCGAGTTCGCAAGCTATCAAGAGCACTGGTTACGTGGATTCGCTCTTGCCAGAAGCCTAGTTGCCTTCGACAGATGGTCATCAGACTCCATTGAGTCTTGCAATATGGTCCTCAAACGCAAAACATCATCATCATCATCACTTTTTCACCTGTCGTACCTGACACAAATTGCAGTAAAGAAAATATGTCGCTGAAGTAGGAGAAATGATAGAATGACGCAGTTCTGCTGTGCTATCCAGCCGAGTGCTTGTCAGAGATCAGGACAAAGTGATTAATGTTGTAGTATTATAACACGCACAAGACGTGATATAGAGAGCCTTAGTAGCTACATATAGAAAATTCATGATGTCCGCTAGTATGTAATTATTACCATTTATGGATGGTGGCTTTATCATGTGTTTGTTTAACGGGACGCTTTAGGCGTACCTGTTCTGACAGGACGAAATTGAAGGGTTCGGAACCGTTGCCATAAGGATGCAGTTCCGCTGAGCTCACTGATTTAACGTCATCTCATGTAACGTTAGAAAGGTTCAAGGCTGGATAGGCGTGAATGATGACGCTGAATGTTTCAACGACAATTCAGCACGTACCTGATAGATACGTATACATACCGATTCCAATGGATACTCCAAAAAGCGTCTGAAAACTCCTGTCAGGAAACTACGAAAGCGCCGGGCTACTTTGGTCGGAAAATGAATTCCATGTTCGGCTTATACAGTGCTTTCGATTGGGCGAACAAGCCCACTTCCTTGAACCCTGCATCCACTTCACACCTGCAGTCGACTTGTGTGTAGAATGCCATAATGGCAGCCAAATTAGTGCTCATTAAATGGCGGTAATAACCTAAGATGGCGCCTGTGCGCCTGATGTTGATAGAAATCGATTGACTTCATCGATCAAGCTTGACTGAATAACCACTGCTGGGCCGATCTTCAGCGCTGAAGCTAGTGTCCAATCCTGGCTCCATGGGCTTATTGACGACGCCGGCCGCAATGGTAGCGGTCGGCATCTCACATATATAATACACGGGGCAGCGGTAGAAAATTACGATTGGGATCTATCTATTGGGACACTTTTTTAAAATGCGGCGCGGCATATTATTAAAAAAAGGTATCATATAGATTAGTCTGCGGCTGATGTCAGTTAGCTAACATCTAACGAGAGGTAGAGTAGCACATGCTTCCGGTCTCGTAGCCTCGACGATGCGGTCAACATCTAATTAATGGATCTTTTTCGTAGTCCAAATTGATAATACCGTTGCAAAATTGCTATATCCATAGTCAGAATGGGGCACGGGTGCGATCGATCAACAGACGGGGGCTAAACAGAAAAGTTAAAGGCCGCTATAGCACTAACAGCGTTGCCATCGTTAATGACGTACCAGGATCCATCACTATCTCTGCTCAAGCAGTTTATACTTTTCTTCTCAAACCAGATCGGCTGCAGTTTTATTCTATGGTTAGCTATTGTATAGCTTTTCCATATTTACGGCTAGATAAGCTGGCACACTGTATCTGTTTGCTCGAGACTGCACTCGTGGCTCCGTTATTCGACTACACTTATTTACTAATACAGATTTTCACGTTATTGCGTGACTTGACCAGGTATCGTCTTCGTCGCATTGTTGACTTGAGGTCTGTCTTTGCCAACCCAACAGATAAGAGAATGTTTCCATGAAATACAGTCTACCGAGCGTTCAGCAACGGTCTCGCTTGTTAGTGAAATGACGCTGCTCGTCGTTTTGATAAACGTAAACGAAAAATTCCATACGTAAGCCTAGTTAGAGGACGGCACAAATAAATGAGATTGGCTATCTGGAAGATGGATACTAGTCACAGTTAGACATGCTCTAGTGTTTCAACGAGACGTAAAGGAGGTAGGTCAATTGACGACATATCTTACGGTCGATAGTTCTCTTCATTGTAACGTATCCTTCTCTCTGATTGAATGACGATCGGCACGTATTTGTTTTATTTTCAATATATCTGACAATATATGAATCTCTCAAGCAAAAAATCAGTACACCAGCCTTTATCGCATGAAGCTTGTTGTATATATAGAAGAGACCGTTATTAGTGTAGCAGCATTTTCTACGTAGATTCGTCATTGCGTGTCGCGTAGCGTAGCCAGTTATCGTTAGCTCTAACGGTTCCTGCTTGTCTAGTCGGTATTCAAGCGGCTTTGCTGCGTAGACCAGCCAAACACTTGATCGTTCTGTTTAGCGTGAGTTGGTGTGGAAGAAACGAGAATCGAAGACAGATCGTACTGTCTACTAGCCTCATCGAAAAAACCCAACCCAAATGAACCATATCAATAGGCTAAACAAAGCCAGCGCAAATAGTAGTCTTTCAGCTAACAGCAAACAACGTGTTATTGGTGGGTAAAGTTTCCACGACGAAAAGGACTGCACCTTGGGTTTGAAATGTTCTTCTGTTAGAAGCCTAAACAAATACATGGGCAATTATGTTTTTATCTGACAAGGCCTAGTGAGACGATAGGCGCTCTTGAAATGCATCCCGGTCTCCAAAAATTATTATCTGAAGTGTTGAAATAGGATCTCCAAAATTTCAAGCACCATACAATCCAGCACCTGTTATGGAAACAAAAATGAATAGAACATTTCCAATGCCCATACATAGCCAAAGTTGACTATGAAATTCCGCCAAGGTCTTATAGTTTCTACGATCGAGTTTTGGTTCAGGGTTATGGCCTGAACCGCATGTGGCCTACGCTACACTTGCGATATCCACACTTATTCCTTAAAATTTACAGATCACTACTCCTCATCGATTGCCTGTTGCTATTCATATTAGCTATAATGTCCTGGTCAGCTCCAATAAATCCCCATCGCGGTACGGACCATTTCAAAGGGCATAAATTGCACCATGTCCAATCGCAATTTTGCTATTGCTAGATCTACAGTTGAGCACAATGTTTAGAAGCGTCTGACCTTTCCGCATAAAATATTCTATCTATATTTAATTGGAGGCGAGTTCGGTCTGTGGGTTGCCTTCGAATACCTACGCATCTGAAGCTGTTCTATATAGATGGACTATATCTAAATATAAACAGATCATTTAACGCGTCATTGCTGGCGGTCATACTGACTTAATATAGCTGCCATCTGTCGCGATCACAACTTCAATTCGAGACCCAAACTATTTGGAAGCCATTTTGGTTTGAAGATTTGAACTGCAAATTATCTCTGAAAATAAAACGATATCGATAGGTGTAAACTCGGTAAATACGCTACTTCCAATGGAATTCAATAGTAAGTTGCCCGCGAGCGGAAAATGTGAGGACTCAAAACGGTCAAACAGTAGAAGACGGACCCTAAGGACTGGGTGGCCTAGCTGATAATCATTATTCTCCTCTTTGTTTCTGCATCAAAAGTCCAAGGAGAGAATTTTTCTTTTTGGCAATTCTTAAATTACTTGATTGCTTCGTCTTCTAATCTTTGGTAGTCTTTGAAATTTCAAACGTACTTCAATACTTCAAACGTGAGCTTCCAATTTTCTTTATATTTAGCGCACATTGTACTAGTGTTATCGGCATCATATGGGGAGGCTTTGATGATTGATAACAAGCTTTTTGCCACCGTAACTGTTATATTCTATTGTATTATTTATATTCTAGTGATCTAATCGACAGGGGCTCGTCTATTATAAATTGCACTTTTCTACCATTTTCTGGTTCGATGTTTGCCTAATTCCACTATGTAGTAAAGAGTTTTATCTCGTGCTCATTATGAACCTTGTTATACCCAAAATTCTTCCAACAAATCATAAGCGTGGTCAATCTGGCTAGTGCTCTTTCTCGGTACATATATATATGTATTTCTATACAATGTGCACGAATGTGGCGCCACTAGTAACTAATAAAAAAAAAGGAAAATGTCTATTTATGTACAGATTGTAAATAAAAGTGTATCTGTAACTATGGTAAGCTTATGCCCTAACAGCATACTTGAACTACACTCCTGTTAACACTGAAGATCATTTACAATTTCGATTGATTTACAGATCCTATTCAAGCCTCCAGAGTGTAGCATTGGTAAACCAACGTAAATAGGCAAAATTAAGCTGGATAAGGCAGCAGCGATCTCCCTAAATGATTCACCTATCATGCGCTATGCGCAAGTATCCTACTATCTTCAACAGATATTTTCACTGGCAGAGGATTCGCAGAGCCAGCTCAAACCTATGTCCCTTGATGTGCCTTCATCTAGGCTCATCCCGTGAATCATCAGGCTACAAACATCGAACTGCCTACGACCAGCCCATCAAATAGCTTTGTTTTGTGTCACGCTGCGAACGTTGACTGTAATTTCTCTGCGTGAAAATCTCGGAAATATTTTGAGCGGTCTTTCATGCTGAGGTTGTGCTTTGAGCGTGCTGTGATAGATACGGCCAAATACACGGACGCAGTAACGGCATTTATAAGTCTATCAATCAACCGTTCATCTGTCGGGTGTGATTATATAGAAAAAAAAAAACAAACGAATTGGTCGTTAGGACTTCCGGAGTCTCAACTGGCTTGTAGGGTAGCTCGACTCAGCGTCTCAAAGCTGCTGATTTGTTGTTTCAGTACAGCCTTCAATTTCGGTACATTGTCGTAGTTATTCAACGTGTCGAAGCTGCCCCGTTTCTGTTGGTCGCTATCGGTACTGTGATGCGCTTTCTATCATGCTATACGTAGTCGTCCCGATTCTCGGCATCTTGATTAAGGGCGACCTTTGTACGGTCCGAGGATTAGGTGCTTCTTCATGTTTCTACAAGCAGCAAAGCTTTCGGTGACAGCATCAACCGGATTAACAATCAAAAGACGGAACCTCTCATCCAATAGACGTGGTAGCTCACTAAAGCAAATGATTACTTAATTAATGAAATATCAATGATCGGTTTACGTAAATTTAACTGTGTTATGTGCTATCATAAACGAAACTATGTAAGATGCACGAAGAGCAGCAGGGTATGGTTGGTACTGTTGTACTTGAGCAATCTGGTGATTTGAGTTCGGTTTGCTTCTAGTGTCGTAACTCGCAGGTTATCAACCAACATAGCTTTAGGCCATTTTCAGACAACAAAAGATTTAGGTACGGCAAAGCATTTTGGTGTGGGGCCTGTTCGTATCGTAAGCCATCCTTCATGCAAACAAGTCTCATAGAAGATTAACACGAACAGCTCCGGAATGGCGAATAGGATTCATACGACAATGTTTAAACAGCCTAATAGCAACGTTTTTAGCCGAAACTCTGTGTGCTTTCCTACGAAGTATTGCAGCGGGTCGCGTTCGGCTCCTATGAGAGCCTATTTGAACGGGTGGCCTGCGCCGTTTTGGGTCGGCTGTAGGATCGACAGGCACCTATTAGGACCCAGCCGTGGAGTTCCTCATTGTCCTACAACTCTCCGTCACGGTCTAGTTACCGAGTAGCATACGATTCGAAGCTTCAGACGACTGATTCTAAGTTTAAACCATCATCGGCAGTGGTTTACGCTCACATCACAAAGGATATTTGGTGGTCAACGGTCAGATGCACGAAGCATTAGTAGATCCAATTGGCTGTGCGTTCTTTCGAACAATTTGGACAAACGATATATTTCTTGAGCTTTCTCGAGGGTTGCTGATCTGGCGCAACAACTTCGCGTATGGAATGGACCTACTAACATAATATACCCGTATCGTAAGCAATCGACTTCTACATGGCCTTAATTAAATATAATTGCAGCATATAAACGCACTTTTACGAAGGCTTCCCAGTCGTATTAACAGTGTTTGGCTCAACCTTAAAATGTATTTAGCCAGGTGTATTTTTTGAGCTACGTAAAGGCGTCGAAAAAAGATCGTAGTCGTTTGAAATATCCGTAACAAATAACTCTTACACTCTTTTTTTTTCGAAATTATAAGAACGGCATATGCGTCTCGAGAATTAGCTAACTCCCGCTCTTTCTGATACGTGCCACCTCTTCGTACAGTGTCAGGGTTAACCAGATTGGAATCGACTGCAGGATCTTCTTTTAGCGTTAAGTCAGATCGAATCCAATATAGGGATCATGTGTGAGCCGGAGAACTAAAACAGTACCTTTTGTTCGCGCATAGGGCAATAGCAGTCTGTTCTTTAAGTATTCACGTCTAGCAGGAAATACAATAAACACCCATGAAGTGTGTCATACACATTAAAAAAACGTGGCCAAATTGCTGAGGAAGCACTAAAACAGTTATTGTGATTAGACTCTTAGTACACGAACGAATGGACGAACTCGACACGTTTCAACACGTCGCTGTATATAATCAAAGAAACAAGTCAATAATGAAAGGTACGAGTTGACAACAACAAACCAATGACCTAGTCCTTTATATTCGATATATATATATATATATATGCTCGAGCTGTCAAGTGTCTGCCATTTGCTTGAACAACCCGCGTTCGCTTATTATGTTAAATTATCAAACTACCGCAAAAAACGTATCGGGGACACAAACGGTGTTACGGCACAAGTTAGCCAGGCAGTTTGCCCGAGGCAGCCAGAAAAACAAACATCTCAACTTAATTCCTGTTATTAATGTTCCTTTTGTTGCTAAAGTTAGTTTTAATATCACCTCAATTGTGAGAAGCGGCGAGAGAGAGACAGAGGGGGAGAGATGTGTGTGTGTGTCTCAGTGTGTGTGTGTGTGTGTGTATGTGTGTGTTTCTCAGTGGGTATGTGAGTATGTTTCTCAGTGTGTGCGTGTGTGAGTGAGTGTGTGTGTGTGTCTGTGGGTGTGAGTGTAAGTGTGTGAGTGAGTGTGTGTGTGAATCTGTGTTTGTGTGTGTGTGTGTGTGTGTGTGTGTGAGAGAGAGAGAGAGAGAGAGAGAGAAAGCGAGAGAGAGCGAGCAAAAGCAAACAAATCGTTCCAATCATTATAACAACTATAATATCGCGTTACGCAAAATGTGTACGGTCGCTGGAGAAGGATATTAAGCTATTACATGTAATAATAGAAGTGCCATTATGAATGTGAGCCGTTTCCGCATGCTTTATCGCTAGTTAACTAGGGTAGATACGCATTATACATATATATATGTACGTTAAAATGCTAGCTTGATTTTTCTCTAAAAAATAATGCGTCGATTCATCGAACGATACGATGAATCGTTAAAAGGTCTATATTTATTTACTATATATAATAGTATCCATATTATTAGGCCTAAATTCATAAAGTACGTAGAACCTTTTTTTTGTAACTGCAGTGGAAGCTATAGAGGCCTAATATAGTATGATACATTTGGGTAGATTTGAATGTGTTGAAACTATGGCTAGTCTATGTATATAAACGTGATTCAAAGGCAAAGACGTTGAAAGTTTACTCCTATAATTACAATAACATTGCTGCGCTAAAATTGTAATACAGCAAAACGGGAAGGCGAATATTAATACACACAATTTTATTATTTTTGCAATTTGTTTTTATGATTTGAGCTTTCACACTAATATTTTTTGTTTGCTTTTCAAAACAACTTTTATTTTTAGAAAGCCGCTCAGAAAAGACCTTGTATTGGGCCGCGTGTCATCAGTTCTCTACAGGTACTTGTTTTGTTCCAGTGCCGCAATTAGGTAGCGTCTCAACGTAAAGGCAACAATTTGAATCATAAGCAGTTACAGATGCTGTTACAATGGAAAGATAGATCGCAATAAAGAGACGAGAAACGCAATAGAAAATAAATATCGCGATAACAAACACAAGTTCTGATACGCCGGAACTACTTCCGATTGGGCCATGCAAGAAGAATAGGGCAAAGACGAACAGCTGTTGTGCTACGTTCTTATGTGCTCTCAAGTAGTCTTGAAGCCTTAAGCTCATACCCTATCGATGACGGAAAGCCTTCGAGGAATCGGCAAGATTGTTTAAAAGTTCGTATTTAGTAACGTAACAGTGTACAAACCACTCATAATGTTCGACTCCCTTGAGCTGAGACACAGATGCCAATGGTACAGCATGAGATTCCCCTTACGACAACGTCAAGGTTTGCGCAGATGATACACTTCGGTTTGTTCGCTTGTCACTAAATGTTTCTCAATTTCAACAAACTGCTGTAGAATTTTTCGTAAACTGATAGTCCTTCGATACTCATATAAGTGTATTAGCTACATTCTGAGCATCAACACTTCAGTATTGTCTCTAACATCTTCACATATCTAACTGTGGGGACAAAGTTACCTAGTCAGGCTTCCTTGTAGCACATTCACGGATTACTACTACTAATAATGGAAGTACTATTTATATGTGCGTACGTATACCATCTCTCATCAAGTAAAAGATAGGTGAATCTGTTAAGGCGTGAATATCTGATAGGACCCGGCAGCATAATCGATGCCTCTAAATAACAAAAAAAAAACTTCTCTACACAAGTTAGCCCCTTGTTCCCATGTCTCCATTTCCCTTTTCCATTCGATCCAGACAGCAGCGAGCGCTGAGACGATTAGCAAGTGAATAGCGGAACATTGTTTGTTTTCTCTGTTCAAGCTTGTTCCTGCCGAATAAAGTGGTCTCCGGCACAGTCTGGATCTGTTCGCAGCGTAGCCATAGATAGCCGGCGGCGTCACGTCGAGCAAAGCACAGGTAGGTTGTCTGTTGCATAATTATACACGTCGAACACAACTTACGGATGGGTGGCGGCAGCTGTTGCAGTAGAAGCTCGCGGATAAAGCATTCGTTACAAAAAGTGAAAGTCACTTCACTCAAATAAGCACAACAAGAATACAATTCATAGGCCAAAGTGCCTTTGTTAGGTCAATTTAATAACATCTCAACATCTATTGCAATATGTCAAAGTTTCACGTACGTACGTACGTACGAGATATACACGCGCAAGCATAGAAAATTCACCTAAACGCAGTACACAACAAAACACATGTTTTTTTTTTTGGCATCGACCATATTGCGCGACTGGAGCAGAGGGTGTTTCTATTTCCCGATCGCACAGTATTTTGTGTAGGAAAACTGGGTCTTTTTTCTTTATTATTATTATAAGTAAGTTCAGTTTGAATGTGCTATATAAGAATAGTGGTTCACCGATAAATACTTGTTTTATTGGGACGTTCAAGGAGTTTTGCAACGCCTAACGGGTAAATTTCAATATAATGCATCTTTTCGGCCGTCATTTATCAAAACACCCTTGAGGAAGTTCAACTTCGAGAACGGGTACGCCTGTTGACGTCTATAGCTAGGCTACCGGGTTTTTTTGGCATAGTCTTTTGGCTATCGCTTCAACACAACAATACATCTATGAGGGTATGTAATAATAAATAATGCAAGAGTTAGAGAAGACGCATAGTAAATACATTATGATAAAAGACAAGGATGAAAGAATCCAGGAAATAAATTAATTACCAATGTACAAGATGAGGTAGAAAGCTATTTTGGAACATAAAATTTATAGGGTAGTAAAACATTAATCTGGCGACATTTATCAACATACGTATTTTAACAAAATATTTTAGGACATCGAAAAAGAGTACTTTTGCAGCAAACATATGTCTCGAATTTTCAATAGTACTGGTACATCCCGTGAGAAAAGCCTCTATCTGCACGCGCATTCATATATAATTCTAGTTGTAGCCCGGTAGCACAACGTACATGGGCATCAAGAAGAAAAATGTCTGTTAATTGCCTCGATGATATGAACCCTTTGAGTGGTTTTTTGTGAAGAAACCCAGGCGTGAGACATGCGATACAGTATGCATTAGATAGCTGAGGTGTAGCACCACGGGAGAATTATATGAATCTATTACATGGTTGTCAGCCATCGGATAGCGTTGTCGTTTCTGTTAGAGTTTTGGGTGAGAAGTCTTAAGGGGGACGACTGGAAAAGAAAGTGACATTAAGGACAACGAGATGTTTGAAAAAAGGCATTTCGACGTTTTTATACACATGCAAGCCGTTCTGTTCTTTCAGCTAAATAGAAAGCCGTCCAATCAGTAGAACGAGACGAAATGGTATATACATTCAAAAGAATATATATATATATATATATACACAAAGCATGTATACGTATCTACATACATACATCAAACACAACGATATTATGGAGAAGGCAAGCAGAAACAGCAGTACTAAGCTATGATTAAGGGGGCCATAGGGCCGAGGATAAAACGGTTCATTACTATAACATAGTTGTGACATCTTCTCTGCCTAGAATTGAACGTTTTTATTTAGATTATTAACGTAATAATATTATACGTTAATTAATTAGCTTAATATTATTACGTTATTATTATTTACATAATTTCAAAGTGGTATGTAGGCTCTAGCTCGAATTTACGTAATTTCTAAAATATAAATAGAACAAAAAAACGCTCATACCTATATAAAAGCGTTCGTTATCGGGAAGTTTTTCAGATCTTTAATAGATAACCTGACTGAATCATAAATGTTGACTTGAATCGGTACTAACGCTTCTTGTATCGTCCGTGTTTTCTATCTAAGCAGATATCTGCAGCAGATAAGCTTTATTTGAGGTCATAATAAACTTAAACCTTCTTATCTTGTTGTCAAAAGCATAGTGGCACAGACACTCACGCATGCGCCCTATACACTCAGGAGCACTCATAGATCCAGACACCCATATGCATATGGTCTATGTACAATATATATAGTGGTCTGCGATCGCTTTGTATAACTGGCGTTGGACTGCGCTCGTTGGTAAATATGAGTCGTCCTATTCCTGGGTGGTCTCAACTACCGAATAGGGTCCACTATTTAGGTTTAGGAATAAAGACTGCCCAGGAAAGGAGAATTGGCAGTGTGAGGAAGAAGAAGCTCACATCTCGCCGTTTCTTTTTTCACCGAGGCGACAGGGACTCTGCCACTTCTGCTGTCGCTGTGGCTGCTGACGATTCATCTCCGCCATATTCTCTTTGGATATTTGGATTTCCCTATAGGCTATCGCCCCTTGCCTGGTGGGCTGCGACTTGTCACTGAAAGTCTGGGCTGTCCAGCAACGCCTAACGGAACTCTCGGTGGGTGGCCGAATAGCGTAGTCCTGCACACAAAATAGGAAAGAACTTGCTGGTCTCTGAACCTTGGATTGCAGCACAGGCTAAGCTTGGCCTATACAGGTTTGCACTGAATTTATGCTCTGAAGTAACGGCGCACTGGTCAAACGAATGAACGGCATTGAGCTTCTCTCAGCCGTCCGTTTGCCTGTCTCGCTCGAGTAGGCTGCCAGGATCCGCTAGCTCTCTTCAGGGTCTCTTTCTTCGAGTAAAAGGCGCTGCTGCCCCTTATCCGCGCGAATATGCGGACCCCGCTTCCCAGCTTCTACGGCCTGCTTTCGCTACGAAACGATTTTCTCAAGCCTAAAGGATGGCATGAAAAGAAGACGCTCTCAGGGACCTTAAAATGTTCTCTGAAACCTATCTCAGTTGGTTCTCGCGTCAAGCATACACAGACACATAAATGTTTCCCTCCAGACGCCCGTCTTTCCATACAACCCTGTCTTGTATGCCATTCCCTAGTACTTTCCTGAGCGCCCCGCATTCCTTTGGGTGCTGGTGCTATCCCTGCTCCTGTCGCGCCTTTATAAAAGAACCATCCATATCGGAGAAAGAAGAATCCATCCAAATTCCAATGCCCCCAATTCGTTTTCGACGTTCATCCCTATCCGCGACCCTGCTTCTTTGATCCTAGCCTTGTGACCTCGTTCAACTCCTTGGCGTCTCCAAAGACCGACCCTTGCTTTTTCTCGAACGATGAACAGCAAGCAGCAAGGAAGAGCGAAGGCGGTGGCCGCTGCCCCCGTTTTCGCTTGTAGACTCGACTTCGCATCTGGTGCCACTGTTATTCCCTACAAAAGTCTCGATCTGACCGTTTAGCCATCGGTGGCGCGACGATTGAGCCGGTGAACGGCTAAGTCAGCGGTGAATAACAAGTAAGCGCATCAGAATCAAATAGCAAACCCATTAGCGGGCCGGCGCGCAATCAACGTAACAAGCCAAGCACGAGGCTTGTAACTAGCTAGCAAGGCATTCCCCTAACCTACGCCAACGGAAAGGGTTGTTTGGGAGCGTCAAGGGGAAATGAAAGTGGATAGAATAAACGCAAGTAGACAGAAATCAAACGGAGCATGTTATGACCGAGAAAGAATTCTATTTCCCTCATGCCGCTACAAGGGGAGCGAAGCCGAGTAGGAACAGGGGAAAGACTGTACGACCCAGAAAAATCAGTGCGAGCATTATACTAGCACATAGGTTGCCTGCTTGCACCAAGCGGAGGCCATCATAGTCGCTTGTTACATTATCATAGTTATATGCGAAAGTTCTTTGTGTAGCAACGTATAGAGAACAACAAAAATTGGGGGAAATACAGCATCGAAATGAAAGTTTTCGGCTCGTCGCCGCTGGGCAACCAATAGCCATAAAGTTTTCTCTAAATTTTCGCTGACGTTACAACAATTAACGTTAATCTGACCTTTTTGTAAAAATTGATTTTCTACTTATCGAGTGGCTGGGGTGAATAATTTCGCTAGAAGTTCTCAAAAAAGCTGACCAGTAAAATTACACAGGTGCAGTTATGTAAGAAAACAGCGATTGAAAAAAACGTAATTATTAGCTAGCGAAAGCAGCATTACGTGATACAGTAATTTACGATAACGTTGTTTCGACCTACCTAGAAAGGCAGGTTTGTTGTTATACTTCATTTTGGCGCCGTCATCGTGCCGACAAAAAGTGATTAGTGATGCTAATAAGCGCGTTAATAGCACATATAGTTGTAAGATAATTACTGCTTCTAATGTTCCACTATTCAGTACTTATTCGCTTCGTAGGGCACTATAGGTTCGTGAAATATATATATGAAAGACCTAAAAACCTTCTGCCAGTGTCCGGCCACCGCCGCTGCCTGCTCTCACTCGAATTGCCCCCGTGTAAAAAGATAGGCTGGCTCGTACACATCCGCAAGTACTAGACACGTCCTGATGTCTACACTTACGGACATCATACGCAAAAGTCTGTATACTTATACTATGCAACAGTATCTTTCATGTGGGCAAAAATATCGACGCGCCTGGCAACTATATACCTCATCGCAATGTGTGTGTACCTATTACTTTTTACTATTGGTAATACTATAACAATTAATAATATAATAATATGCGACTAGCAATAGTGGGAAAAAGAACTGCGACAAAGAAGTTACATTCGATCATTCAAATTGTTCGGCTGACTTCGAAATCCTGTCCCGCAGACCTACAAATCTATTTTATATAGGAACGCGCACCCAAAGGCACCGTTTCGATAAAAACAAACCATAAGCAATATTGTGCGAGTCAATCAATACTTTTAACAGCTAGTTGGAATGTTTACATAGTATGCAATGGCATTTAAACGCCTGCTCGACGCTTTACGCCTCTTGTAAGCACGGGACCAACGTGGACCGTTCGTATGGCCCATCAGCGTCACTGATTCATCCGTAGAGCAACAACTAGGGCCGTAGTCTTCATCGACAGCTGAACGATTCGTGTTATCGGCCGAAACGAGATTGGCCGTCAGAAACCGTCCACCTCACATAAGGGAATTTGTCTCAGCTAAAATAGCAGCCAGACGGGACTTTGGCGGATGTCC